TAGTTTCGCCAAATTCGACTATATTGCACGGAGCCTGGCACACTCGCATCGACACTGGTAAACATTTCTTGGGCGTTACAAGGAGCTTGTACATTTATGGAATATACTCCTTTTTTATTCATGTATTCTTCACCATGAATACGTGGCTTTGTTATTTTAACGAGGGTACAATCAATAGCACCTACCACATTCAACACTTGCTTATTGGGATTTGCCCACTGATTTATACCAACTTCAAAAAACTTGTTAGTACTTTGGTTAACATTTAAGTCAACAGCAACTCCCTGTTGATATCCAGGATCTCCTACAAAGGTAATATTTATATTTTTTAAAGTTTACAACTTATTTCCAAAACTAACTGAACTTCTCAAAAATATCTCCATTTTCCGAGTGGGTGACAAGGCTCCACCTCTTGTTTTTACGAAATCGTCATCGTCAAGAAAATGACTAGCAAGCCACTCTACATTTTTTCTGTTGAATCTAAATAAAAAATATGAAAGTAACTTTTTATATAGATTTTATATAAATAAATAAATATATATACCTACATATGAAACGCGATTAAATCAGTCTTATCCCCACTACTTTCCTACTTTCCCATTTAAAAAATTAAATGTATGACTGTCACCTCAAAAAGGATTGCTTAAAGTTCGAAACATTGATTCTATACTATGATTATTTTAAAATCGACATCTCCGAACGTTTTGCTTATAAACTAAAAATAAATGAGTTAATATGGGGGGTGACACTTATTCCAGGGCACTGTATGAATAAAACTGCACGATTCATGATAATTACTTAATTATTTTACGATAAATATCATCATTGTCTATTCTTCCTAGTTTGTAAATTTTTCTATGACGAACATTCATAAATGCTCCCATGCAAACACACACACACACCGTAGGTTTTTTAACAAAAAACACCTACGCCGAAGTCGTTCATCGACCAACTTCACCTAAACTGAAGCAAATTCTACTAAACTAGCAAATACTTCAAAAGCGTAGTACATTCTTCTATGTATCTGGTAAATTATAGCAAATACTACGGAAGAAAGCAAAATGATTTGTAAGTGTAGAAAGTACTACAAAAATGTAGAATTACTTGAAGCATTAGCAGATACTACATTTTATGCATTCCACCCAATGATACAAATCCAGGTTAAAACAAGACATAGGCAATTTTGTGGTGTGTGAAGGGGTAGTCAAGCGCAATATATGATGCCGTATCCTGTTAGCGTCACTTAGCCTCTCCTACTCAATTCCTATCTTCACCTCCAAGCTGGTACACACCGGTAACCTGAGCAACCCCACTGGAGATTGGTTAACCAACCCCCAATGGAAGGTGGGGTCAGGGCTGACGAAGAAGGGAGTCTTGGTCCTCCGACGAATAGGGGGTTGGGCTGAAGGTTAACTACCTTCTCCTAGAAAAACCATGAGTTATGAACGTTTAAGGAAGAAAAGCCGGACTGATTAAACGACGACGACTGTGCGAGAAAAAGGAACACTATTTGAGGGTTGCGACATGGAATGTTCGAACATTGTACAGATTAGGGGCTCTCCAAAATCTCTTAAACGAACTAAGCAGATACAAAATTGACATAACTGCCATACAAGAAATGAGGTGGATTGGAAACAATATTATGGAAAAAAAGAGCCATACCATTTTCTACAGCTGCGCTCCTAAAGATCACATTTTGGGCACTGGATTCATAGTTAACAAGAGAGTAAGACATATAATAAAAGACTTCAAAACCATCAGTCCCAGAATGTGTATTTTAAGAATTAAAGGACGTTTCTTCAACTACAGCCTAATTAATGCGCATGCCCCCACAGAAGAAAAAGCAGAGGAAGTCAAAGAAGAGTTTTATGATGAATTAGAGTCCGCATACCAGTCATGCCCAAAAAGTGATATAAAAATAATTTATGGAGACTTAAACGCAAAAGTTGGAAGAGAGCAGCAATTACAACCCACAATAGGTAAGCACAGTCTCCATGAGCAATCAAATGACAATGGCAATGGGTTGGTAAACCTAGCAAGATCACTTAACATGGTGATTGCCAGCACATACTTCGCTCGAAAAGATATATACAAAGGCACCTGGAAATCACCAGACGGACTTACAGTGAATATGATAGATCATGTTATTGTAGACTCAAGACACCAATCGAATATAATAAACGTCCGTACCAGAAGAGGGGCAAATGCGGATTCTGATCACTACCTGGTCGAAAGTAGGATAAGGGCTAGAATTTCAAACATCAAAAAGGAAAGAGGCTCTAAACATGAACGATACAATATAGAAGGACTCAAAGAAACAAACAAAAATAGAGAGTACAAAGAAAATATAAGCATCAAACTAGAAAACAGACTAAAACATGAAAACATGAAAACCTAAATGAGGAGTGGGAAGAGTGCAGAGAAATCATAAAAGAAACAGCTAAAGAGGTGTTGGGCATGGAAGGTAAAGAAATAAGAACAAAAACGAATCACTGGTTTGACGAAGAATGTCAAACTATAACAGAAAGAAAAAACAGAGCATATCTACAGATGCAACAGAGGCACAGAACCCGACAAGCAGAGGAAGAATATAAAAGACTATGTAAAGAAGAAAAGAAAATTCACCGAAAAAAGAAGAGAGAATATATCAACAAAGAACTTCAAGAACTACAAGAACTAAGTAAACCAACAGAGACAAGAAAATTTTACCAGAAACTCAACAAAAGCAGGAAAGAGTTCAAACCGAGAACAACGATGTGTAAAGATAAGGAGGGTAATATATTCACAGAACAGCAAGAGATACTTAGAAGATGGATAGAACATTTTAAGGAAAAGCTTGGGGTGAATAGGACGGAGATGAACTCTGATATACCGTTAGACCAAGCAGACAACAGAGAAAAGAGTCCACCAACAATAGCAGAGATTAGAACAGCAGTGGACAAATTAAAGAACAATAAATCACCGGGATCGGATCAAATATCATCGGAGCTACTAAAAGAAGGAGGAGACGCATTACTTAAAGCCATACATGAGCTGATAAGAAAGATATGGTTAAATAAACAGCTACCAAAGGAGTGGAATAGCGGCATTATTGTACCACTACATAAAAAAGGAAATCAGTTAGAATGTGAAAACTACCGTGGAATCACGCTGTTGAATGCGGCATACAAAATAATGTCCAACGTAATGTATGAAAGACTTGGACCATACGCTGAAAAAATAGTTGGCAAATACCAATGTGGCTTCTGTAGACAGAAGTCAACAATAGACCTTATATTTGTTCTGCGACAGATCCTTAAAAAAACAAGTGAATATAACATCGACACACATCATCTCTTCATAGACTTCGAAAGCGAATATGACAATATAAACCGAGAATTCCTAACAAAAGCAATGAAAGAATTTAATATACCAACACAGCTAAGAGAATTGATAAAAGAAACACTAAAAGTAGAAAGTAAAATCCGGATACAAAACGAATTAACGGAAACAATAGATGTGAAGAAGGAACTACGCCAGGGAGACGCTCTATCATGCATATTATTCAACATCATACTTGAAAAAATAATAAGAGACACAACAGTTAATACCCGAGGAACAATAATTAATAAAAGCGTGCAAGTACTAGCATTTGCAGATGATGTTGACATAATCGCAAGATCAAGAAGAGAAATGATAGAGGCATTCACTCAAATAGAACGAGCTGCAAAAAATAGTGGTCTTAAAATCAATCAGACAAAAACAAAATATATGCCCGCAAATAAAAACGCACAAATAAGGCAGCTGCCAAATTTAACAATAAGAGAATACAACATTGAGGCGGTAAAAAACTTTACATACTTAGGATCCCTAGTTACGTCTGATAACAACGTTGCAGAGGAAGTGAAGAGGAGAATATTTATTGCCAATAAATGTTACCATGGCTTAATTAGGCAACCAAGATCAGATAACGTCTCCAGAAAAACAAAATGCCAAATATACAAAACCTTAATAAGACCGGTACTCACATACGGTTCAGAAACCTGGACACTCTCTAAAAGGGAGGAAACGTTATTAGCCACCTTTGAAAGAAAAATCTTGCGACACAGATATAAGGGCACAAAAGAAAACGGGATTTGGCGGAGAAGGTATAACTTTGAACTATACAACATATACCAGGATCCGGATATCATAACATTCATTAAAATAGGAAGGCTACGTTGGATTGGACATGTGGAAAGAATGGAAGAAGGCGAAATACAAAACAAAATATTCAAACAAGTGCCAGTAGGAAAAAGAACAAGAGGAAGACCGAAGCTGAGATACGTAAAACAAATAGAAAATGATATAACAACATTAAAAATTAAAAACTGGAAAAAAAAAGCACGAAAGAGGTCAGAATGGAGAAGAATCCTTGAACAGGCCAAGACCCATAAAGGGTTGTCGAGCCAGTGATGATGATGATGATGATGATAGGCAATTTTGTTCTCGGGTAGCTTAGATGAAAATAATTATGTATCGCTCGTTATGTACAAGTCTTTATCACAATGTTTTTTTTTTAACATTCTTTTTGCTTCCTAAAACAAAACTTTTATTTTGGTAATTTGGTCTAAATAAAACTATATTTTATTCTGTGGTAATCTAAATTAAAATGTAGTGTTGGTGTTTGTTAGTTTTCTAGTGCTATACACTGTTGTTTTATAACTACTATCTTCTTTAGAGTTTAGAATATTCAAAGAGTAACAAAGTAATAAAAAAACTCTCAAACACAAGGTTTTATTGACAAAATTGTTCCCCACATTTTCTAAAATTCGTTGTAGACAATATTTCCAGATTAGATTGTTTACCCATAAAATTCAGTATATGAATTTTTGTTTAACCTTTGTATTTATTAGTTTGAATATTAAATGGACTATTAGCCTCTACATTTGCAAGCAATTACAATGAAAATAATTGCTGATGTTGTCAAGGACCTGGTGCAAGCTGGTAACCATATAATACCTGTCTCAACAACACTTCTTATAGTATAAGTAGTGATACTACAAGGTAGTATCGAACTGTCAGTATTATTTTGATGCAGTGTTTGGAACAAGTCTAATATGTTGGTAAAAGTGACAGTTCTAGTTTTTGGCTTGCTCTGTCTTGCTGATGGAAAATTACGTAAGTAAAAAACTGTACTAAGAAAAAAGAAAGACATTTCTACTACAGGACTCTTACTTTTTTATTTATTATAATTCTGAGGGGTATCCCAGTATCTTAGTCCCGTTCTTCCATTTTTATTGCATTTTCACTATTTGAGACTTTTGATTTTTATGTAAACATTCTTTTCATCATCGTTCATTTTTATTGTTTATTAGGTTCAATATTAAAAAGTATTTGTAGAAGTGTGTAGATTTCAATACAGTATATAATATTCTGATAAGCTATTCTATAAGCTATTATCTGACGTTTACTCGACATCAACGTTTGTTTTAAATTTTTACTTCAAAAGTGGAAGATTTTATTACGTCTTATATAATATAGGCAAGAGAAATTAGCAAATAAAAATCCTTTTTTATTCGTTAATACAGGTACCTATCTAAAAACTACTTTTGATAAATTTGGTGATATCAATATGTAATTAACAAAATACGCAAAAGAATAAACCTCATTGTTTACTTATAAACAATATATATGTAAGATCTATTTGATTTTAATTACTTAAGGTGAAGACCGACAAATTATATGGAAAAGTGACACAATGTTACTAAAAAAGCACAAAAATCCTTTAAATTGAGAGTTTGTAAAGGTATGTTTGTTAATTTGTTGCCTAATTATTGCAAAAGTAGATTCAATAGTCGATTTGTTGAAAATTATTAATACCTTTTCTAAAAATGCACAAAAAATTTAATTTTGCGTGATAATAGAGACAATATCACATATATTCAGTTATTAAAATTTTAAGATGTTTCACTTAACATATATTGCAAAATGAAAATTGTTTTTCCCAGCTTTTATCTACGTTATTATGCATAATCTATTAGATCTACATAAATTATGAAACCAACAAAGTGAAGAAAAAGGTATATATTATCAAATTAATTATTTAATGATTAAAATCTTTTGTGTTAAGTATTGTAAAATGGGTTTACAAAGGTACTGTGATTTTAACCGTATAAACATTTAAAATAACTCAGATGAATCAACATATAGAAACGTAACTTTTGTTAATTCGAAATGTCGGCATTTTTATACAAATTTTAAAATAAAATTCAATATCCTACGACCCTTAGAACCAGAATTAGCAATTTTTTTTATTTCTCGATTTTACTATTTCAAAAACTTAATTCATAAATTCAAAATAAAAGTCGCAATATCTTTGGTACTAATCAACGAAAATTTATGTTTTTTTTTTTATATCTGAGGTACCTTTTTGAGTAGAATATAAAAATTTAATTGGTTAATTTCTGATTTGTTTATTTAACCGAGTAATTTGTTTAAACAGTTTAAAATAAATATTTATTTTGCAAAATTTTATTATTATTAGTAGTAGAAAAGGTTATGAAAAAATATATAATTTATATACTTATGTATTATAGTCATAAATAATAACCTTTAGAAATAAATTTAGTTCTACTTGCACCCAACACACTTATTTTCAACATCACTTATGTTTTCATCACCCACTAGTGCCGTTTAGAGTTACATCTTTTTCAAAAATAGTGATGGCTCACTTGACTTTGTTTTACTTTTTTGTTTTTTGAAGGTTTTGAGATTTTTTTAATTAGTGAATGAATCGTTCTTTATTTTAATAAAGTCTTTCGTAGTAATCTCCCCAGTTTATATTTGGTAAGATATGTTACTTTTGGCGCAGATTGTTTAATGGAATTTCTTTCATATATTTTTAACATTTCTTTTAAGTTTAACCGCTGTGAAGATTTTTAAGGGTTTCTTTTCAGCCTTTTGTGGTCCATGTTTGGACATAGGCCTCTCCCAACTCCTTCCATCGGTCTCTATCCTGAGCAACATATTTCCAATTTGTTCCGTCTATTCTTTTAATGTCATCGACCCATCTCATCTGTGGTCTTCCTCTTGGTCGTTTACTTTCGTAAGGGATTTACTTTTCGATTTAAGGGTTTAAAGCGATTAATATTAATTTAGTTGACTAAATAGTAGACTTCATCATAACATTTTAATTTGTGGCATTTCAATATATAGTTAGAAATATTTATCGTGTTTAATTTGTTTATAATAATTAGTTTTACGCAAGTGTTTTTATTGAAATCATGTGTTTACCATTTTGTTGGTATTTTAATAGATAAGTATATCCAAATATCCTGATTTTATTTCTACAGCTTTTCCACATTTTGTAATATATTTGGTAACTCGTTTTTTGCTAGAAGCACAGAGATATCCTTTCAATCTTTTCATTGAATTTAGAATCGTTATGAATGGCATATTTATTAAGACTTACCTACATAACAGATTGAATACTGTAAATTTATAATACAAAAGTACAAAACAACTGACTAATCAATCATATAGAATTGGTGTTAAATCTTTAAATTTTGTAGAGATAGTCGTACTAAGTACTAGCTTTTTTATTAACTTCCTTAATTCGAAAATCACTTTAGTCCTCAGGTTTTTTAACCGCAATACTCTTTCTCCCAATTCCTCGCTTTCCGAATACTTTGCTTTGAAGTATTATTTTCAGTAATCTGTATTTAGTGCCGTTTCTTATTATGTGTCCGAGATATTCTTACTTTCTCATTTTAATCATATACATCACTTCTCTGTCTTTCCCCATTCTTCGTAGTACAGTCTCGTTGGTTATCTTGTCCGTCCATTATATCCTTAGGATTCTTCTGTATAGCCACATCTCAAGTTTTTTCTCCATCGCTTCAGTGAGTGTCCAGGATTCATCTTCATAGTTTAATATCGAGAAAATATAACATCGCAGTAGCCTTACTTTTATTTTCAGATTAAGAGTTTTAAGAGTTTTAAGAGTTTTAAGAGTTTTAAGAGTTTTAAGAGTTTTAAAGAGTTTTAAGAGTTTTAAGAGTTTTAAGAGTTTTAAGAGTTTTAAGAGTTTTAAGAGTTTTAAGAGTTTTAAGAGTTTTAAGAGTTTTAAGAGTTTTAAGAGTTTTAAGAGTTTTAAGAGTTTTAAGAGTTTTAAGAGTTTTAAGAGTTTTAAGAGTTTTAAGAGTTTTAAGAGTTTTAAGAGTTTTAAGAGTTTTTAAGAGTTTTAAGAGTTTTAAGAGTTTTAAGAGTTTTAAGAGTTTTAAGAGTTTTAAGAGTTTTAAGAGTTTTAAGAGTTTTAAGAGTTTTAAAGAGTTTGGCCATGTTGTTGAATGCACTGCTAGCCTTCTTCTCTATTCTAAATTTTACTTCTTGTGAGTGATCGCATTCTTCGTTTACTATTGTTCCAAAATAGATAACTGTTTTCCTCGGTCCGCTTGTGTGTTTTTGATTAGCAGTTGAAAGTCTCTTAATTTTATTTTTGCTGATGACCATAAATTTAGTTTTTGATATGTTTACTTATAGTCGAAATCTTTCCCTTACTTCATTTAGTTTGTTTACTTATTAGTTGCTGTAAACTGTTTAAACTGTCTGCAAAAATAATGGTGTTATCTGCATAGCGGATGTTGTTTAGGCGTTCTCCATTTAAACGGATTCCATGTTCGCAATTTCCCAAGGCTTAACTAAATATTTCCTTTGAATATAGGTTAAATAATATAGGTAAAAGTTTACATTCTTCTTTAACGCCTCGTAGAATCTAGATCGCTTCCGTATATTCATCTTCAAAATTTGTTCTGATTGTGGCTGATTGGGTCCAGTATAAATTTTATGTTATACGCCGATCTTTATCATCTATTTCGGCTTTTGTTAGAACATCGATCATTTTTCGGTGTTGAACTGTGTCAAATACGTTTTGGTAGTCTCCAAAGCAGTTGTAGATATCGCAAGTAATATCTCCGCATCTTTGTAGCGGTTTAAGAAATTCAGACTGTATTTCGTCTGTTCCTTGAGCTCTCTCTTCTTTTAGTGATATTATAGCTATAGCTGCTCTTATTTCTGCCACTAGTATAGGTGGTCCTGTTTCCGTAGGTATTGGGGACTGCTTCTCTCTCTCGTCAAAAAATAAATTTCGTATGTAATTTTTCCAGTTATTATTAATACTCTTTGTCCACTATTACCTCTCCTTTGTCATTAACAAGTTTACTTACTCTTCTGTTTTTACAATTGCCTGTAATTTCTCTTACCTTTTTATGCACGTTGAAGTCTTCGTATTTACTTTGCAGAATTTCGATTTCTTGGCATTTTTTCTTCAGTTCTTTTTGTTTAGCTTCTTTAAACTTACTCTGTATATCTCGTTGTGACGTTTTATACATAGAGTTATTGTTCTTGTTTTTCCTTCTTTCTTCCATCAACTGCAGAATCTCTGTCGTCATCCATGTCTTATTCTTAATTTCTTCGTTCGTCATAAAATTGTATTTTAATGTCGTCTATCGTTTTATTAAAGGATTATATCTTCCCTTCTGTGTACTTTCTTTCCGTTGTACTATCGATTTTTTTGATTTTTTTTTAATTGTAGTATGTATAATATGTATATGTGTGACAAAGACGCACCATATAGAGCGCGCGGCTAAAAAATCGAGGGAGTGGCCCACACTCATAAAAAAACAACGGTGTGAAGTAAAATATGCTCCGATTGCTCTACAGAATCTTGAAATTGAATGTGTAAACTAAAATTTAGGCATTTGGCAACCTCAAAAATAATTACTATTAAACTGGGAATAAGCCACAATTAAAGATACAAATACGTTTATTGACGTTTCAATTTCCACTTCGGAAATCGTTCTCAAAATACCTATGTAAAATGTTTTCCAACCTTCTGCTTGAATATGCTGGACGTAACTTCAAGCCCTTTGGTATTAGGTTGTTATCTCTACTTCTTCGTAAAAATTTAATTGAATTTTGACAATGTGCCAGTTTCTTGTATAGAATTTCCAATCTCCTAAAATTTTGAATAACGCTGGGCCCACAACGGTTTCTTAATATTGTTCTGAAGCTATTTTCTTGTGGCATTGTAAATTAATTACTATTAAACTGGGAATAAGCCACAATTAAAGATACAAATACGTTTATTGACGTTTCAATTTCCACTTCGGAAATCGTTC